CAAACAGACATACGCACAAGCAAACACATAGTATACATTCGAATTGAAGCTACATCCCTGGGAATGCCGAATAATAATATAATGGTAATACATATAGGCCTGTAATATACACTAAAAGGCCACCCCCACCCCCCAAAAAAACCCCCACACAACAACAACAACCCAAACCCAACAAATAACAACAACAGCAAAACAAAACAAAACAAAACAAAACAAAGCAAAGCAAAACAAAACAAAACAAAAACAAAAACAAAACACTTCATATTATAATATAATAAATGTCCCTGCTTAATGTAGAAATCTAGTTCTAGATCCTGCTTGTAAAACATAACCCATGTTATCCTAAAAACAAATTTCAACACGGTCGAGACAAAAGAATTCAGAGATGGACAAGTCCCGACAATGGAAATCATCAAAATCTCGTCTCGGAAGCAACAAGCTGAATCAGATCTGGGCCGTATTATAAACGTCCAACGAAGCGTGAAAATGATCGCCACACGAGTCGGCTAACAGCTCTCTTTGTCGGCGCGAGCCGCCAGAGTAGCGACAGGTGATCCCTTGTCTCAAACTTGTTGCACGCTGCATCGCACCGAGGTGACCGTACCGAGAGGCACTTTTCTTTCGTCGCTATCATGGCACGGGGAGAGAGGCAAGTCGGAGACAAGTTCTTGATGGCACAAACAGGCAGGCAGGCAGGCAGGCAGGCAGACGTACTGTTGTAGCACTAGCCTAGCCCAGCCTAGCATGGCAGAGCTCGGACAAAGAACCGAGCCGATCAGAGAAGGGAGTCGCTCGCATCTTTGTGTTGGGTGTTGTAGTATTTTTAGACTGGTTACGTGGTCTGTGAACTATGGCAGAAAGAAAACAAGGTCAGGGCGACGATAGCAGTTTTCTAAACAACCCTGGTTGAATACGCTCTTTCTTTAAAACAAAATTCCAAACAAAATAAAGTTCGGAGTTTCTGGTTTTTGTCTCAATCGGAAGGTAAAGCTGAGTGGTATTTAGTGAGAAGGAGAGAGA